GGGATTCTCTTGCAGGATATGGGTGTCTCTTTGCTGAATTTGGGGGGATGTCTCTGCTGAATATGGGTCAGTCTCTTTTCTGATATGGGCCTGTCTCTTTGCTGGATATGGGCCTGTCTCTTTGCTGGATATGGGGATGTCAGTCTCTTTTCTGGATATGGGGATGTCTGTTTGCTGGATATGGGGATGTCTGTTTGCTGGATATGGGGATGTCTCTTTGCTGGATATGGGTGATGTCTCTTGCAGGATATGTGACAGTTTTTTTGCTGGATATGGGTGATGTCCCTTGCAGGATATGGGCCTGTTTTTTGCTGGATATGGGGGATGTCTCTTGCTGTATATGGGGAGGTCTCTTCCAGGATATGGTCCTGTTTCTTTGCTGGATATGGGGGATGTCTCTTGCAGGATATGGGGGGGGTCTCTTTCAGGATATCGGCCTGTCTCTTTGCTGGATATGGGCCTGTTGAAAGCATCTGGAAATGCCTCTAAGTTTACTTTGGTGCTGGATATTTCTAATGTTTTGTGCATTTTACGACATTGCTTTTTGTTAACAAATTTCATACAAATTAGAAGTATAGCCCCCCAAATTTTACTTGGTTACCTGTTCTCTAAAGGGGGTAGTGCTATTAGGTGTGTAAAGGGTGGTGACAAGAGGCAGTCCTGGGCGGTTCTACTGGTGGGTAGGGAGCGAAAAAGCGAAAATATCCAGTGAGCAGCAGTTGTGTTGATGAAAATGTCATGTTTATGTCATAAATCAGAGGAAAATGGGCAGACTGGTTTCTTCGACATTCAGATGATAGGTTCAGAATTTGGCTTAAACAACATGAAAGTATGGATCCATCCTGCCTTGTATCAAAGGTTCAGGCTGGCAGTGGTGGTGTAATGGTGTGGGGGATACGTTCTTAGCACTAGCAAGGTGTACCTAATAAAGTGGCCGGTGAGTGTAGCTAGTCAGCTTGAAAAAAGACAAGTTCATCAGATTCAACCAATTGAAAATAAATAGAAGATAGAAAAACCTCCATATACACAATCCTATACCCACAGCTGATCCAGAGGAAGGCAAAAAAGATATGAATTGCCTACAATGGGAGTGTGAAGCAGATTATACCTAACCAATCTCTTGTTTGGCGCCTAAGCTCTTTGTGGATTTCACTCCCCTAAGTACATGAGTGGGTGTAAAATTATCTACAAATTTTCTGGCAGAAAAAACCCCGAATCTCAATCTCATACCATTGTACACAAGAAAATGATACATTAGCTTTATAGCTGTGAACAGGAAACTCAAATCGTCAAATTGCAGAGCTAGTAACCTTTCTAGAGCTAAAGGCAAATTCCTTTGACCCTACTGAGTCCACATGATTGACAGTTCTGTGTGCCCAAAGCAAAAAGCAAAAAAACAGGATGTCTCTAGTCTTGGCAAAAGTAGAACTCAGTAGCCCTGGCCATGGCCTCTTTGCAAATTATGCTTCTGCTTAATGATCCAGTACTTTTGTTTCCTAAGAACCTGTCCACTGTAGCCAGTGGGGTGAATGTGGAAAAACTGTTTTGGGAGTATCAAGGCCAAGGCACAAGCCAACACCTACCACTATCAGTACTAAGGATCTACATCTTTTTCTAGATCATGGGGATTCATTTATTAATACCTTTTTCCTTCAGCTCAACAGCATCAAAACAAATCATCTAATACTCTGACATTTGGGCCAGACAAGCAAACTGATAGCAGAATAAATCATTTAGAAAGTTATTTTTGTTGGAGGTAGCAAAACAGCATTACCCACAGAATTTTAACTATGAAGTACATTGTAGAAAACATTGATGAAATGAAGTGTTTTTCTGTTGTTCTATAGGACCAGAGTATCAGAGGTGAATTAATTTATTGGATCCCTGAAACAGGCAAAAAGAGCATTGATTATTTTCTAAAAGGGTGTGCATAGCAGCATGGCAGCAAAAATGAAAATGCTTTCTCTTTATGTGATGGACTCTAATGTGAAGAGATGGCCTGTAATGTAATAGATGAGCTCTAGTATGATGGGGAACTCTGATGTGAAGTGAGGAGCTCTATTGTAATGGAGGTACTCTAGTGTGATGGGAGGACATAATGTAATGGAGGGATGCTGATGTAATAGATGGACCCAATGTGATTGGAAGACTATGTTGTGATGGGGGGACTCTGATGTGAGGAAGGAGCTATAATGTAATGGAGGTACTCTGGTGTGATGGCAGCACATAATGTAAAGGAGGGACTCTGAAATAATGGGGGGCTCTGATCAGATAGGGGAACTGTAATGTGAAATGGGGGCACTGATGTGATGGGGGAGAGGGACAATGTGAAGAGGGAATACTCTGATGTGATGAGGGCTGTAAAGTGAAAGGGAGCTCTGATATAACAAAGGGACTATGATGTCATGAAGGGAACCTTAAGTGATTGAGGGAGTCCAATGTGATTGGGGACTCTGGTGTGAAGGGGAGGACTCTAATGTAATGGAGTGATTCTGGTGTAATGAAGGGACTCTAATGTGAAAAAGGAACTCTGATGTGATGGCGGACTTTACCCACTTACCCTCCAAGGGATTTACCCCCCTTCCTGATCAGGCCATTTTTTGCAATATGGCCCTGTGTTACTTTAACTGACAATTGCATGATCATGCAACGCTGTACATACATTACATTTATGTCCTTTATTTCACACAAATTGAGCTTTATTTGATATTTTATCGCATGTGCGGTTTTTATTTTTTACGCTATTAAAAAAAAGGACAATTTTGAAAAAAAAAAAACAATATTTTTGACTTATTGCTATAAAGCGACTTATAGCAGGACTGTCGGCAGTCATTCTGACACTGGGGGGAACTGACTAACTGCCACTGACATCCCCAGTGACACCAATACAGTGATCAGTGCTAATAAAAAAACACTGACACTGTACTAATGACACTGGGTAGGGAGGGGTTAACTTTTGGGCGATCAAAGGATTAACTGTGTGCTGTGTGTGTTTTACTACGGAAACATGCTGCTGTGTATTTCTCTGCTGTGCAGAGAAATACAAAGCAGCATGTCCTTGCTGGCAGGAGAGAGACCTGTGTCATTTACACACAGGTCTCTCTCCCCAGTTTTACACAGCGATCTCCAGGTGCTAGTGGAGAGTCTCCAGCTGGGACCCGGTGATTGACATCCCTAGCCACTAACAGAGGTGCGGGTAAGGAGGCGCGTGCGCCTCTTACCAGGAAATGCAAGTCATGTATATATACTGTACGTGATTTTGCACAGCCCTACCGCCCTGTAGCAGTACTTCTACTGTAGGGCGGCAGGGCACTGATGTGATAGGGGCCCTAATGTGAATGGAAAAACTCTTATGTGTAGTGTGTGTGATGTCTGATGTGATAGGGAGAGCTCTAATATGAATGGGAAAACTCTAATGTGAAGGAGAGTCTCTGTTGTGATGGGGGCCCTAATGTGAAGGGGGAGCTCTGATGTAATGGAGGGACCCTGATGTGATTGGAGGACTCTAATGTGAAGGAGGGACTCTAATATGAAGATGAGAGCCCCACTGTGATGGAGGAACTGTGATGTGATGCAGGCTCTAATATGAAGGGGGGGGGCTCTGATGTAATACAGGGACTTTTATGTGATGAAGGACTCTGATGCAATGAGGGGACTTTATCTGAAGGGGACTTACTCTGATATGATGGAGGAACTCTGATGTGAAGGGCAAAATACTAATTCAAAAAGCGGTCTCCCCCATGTGGTGCCAAGGAAAGGATGACATCATCATTCAGTGCATATGTCAGTGTCTTTCAGCCCAATAAATACAGTTTAAGACTGGATTGCCTCAAGCAGGGGTGGACTGACAACTCATGGGGCCCCTGGGCAATAGGGGATCATGGGGCCCCCGTGTCTTCGCCCACACCCAAAAAAGCCTATGAAAAAGGTACCAGGGGCGTCACATGGGGCCCCCTACTGACCCCGGACCCTCGGGCAGTGCCCAAGTTTCCAAATGGACAGTCCGCCCCAGGCCTCAAGATTCTGCATACTTTAAATCCTTTGTACCCAACACACGGCCTGCCTGTTCTCTGTGTCCGGTCCATGGACTATTGGGCACCAGTCAGATCGCAGAGTGTCAGCAGAGTGCTAGGCATTGGAACACTCTCTATGCTCCAGCATCAGGCACTGAAAGAGACTGTGTAAAAGTTCTGGCCTTCGGAGGAAGACTAAGATGTGTGTACCATTCATTATGTCACCAATATGGTCTTAGCCAAGGCTAGGTTTTATTCAGGTTAAATTTCTCCACAGAGCTTACTATACTCCTGTTTGTTTGGCTGGTATATACACCTCAGTCAGTCCCCTATGCACCCAATGCCAGTAAGCTGAAGGTACCTTCTATGACATGGTCTGAACCTGCCCCAAATTCAGGGATTTTTGGACATCTGTCTTGAATGTCATCAATGACACTTATGATTTGTCCTTACCCCTAGACCCTAAGTTGCTACTTTTGGGAGTGCTGGATGGGGCAGAACTGGGTCATTATGTCAAACTACTTGTATGTTTTGCTTTCTTTTATTCAGGGAGGGAAATCCTCCTTAAACGGAAATCTCCTATGTCTCCAACTGCTGAATCTTGGAGTGCAACTATCAATATGGTGCTATCTGTGTACAAACTCACTTATGCTAGTCACAACTGTCCTAGGAAATTTGATAAATCGGGATGGCCTGAATAGATTTCTGGAGAGGTGATTAAGAACCTGATTGAGCCTAAGATACCTTTCCTGCCATTCTGCTCCCTCAGTACTTTGACTCCCCCCCCCCTTCCCTTACCCCTCTCCTTCCCCTCTTCCCTCTCCTCCATCTCCCTTCTTCTGACTGCCCCCTTCTTCCCTTCCACCTCATTTTCCCTTTTCACATCCCTCATTACTTTCCCACTTTTTGTTTTGGCCCCCTAGATTGGTGATTTGAGGGAATGGTTGTCATTTTTCCTATTGTTTCTGGATTAATATGAGACCCAGGCAGGGGAGGACTGACCATTTGGAAACTCGGGCACTGCCCGAGGGCCCGGGGTCAGTAGGGGGCCCCATGAGATGCCCTTGGTACCTTTTTCATAGGATTATTTTAGTTTGGGCAAGGACACAGGGGCCCCATGATCCCCTATTGCCTGGGGGCCCCATGAGTTGTCAGTCTGCCCCTGGACCCAGGTATATGCATATGTGACCCTTGTACTTTTTCTTTTGAATGATTCATGTCCATGTGCCATTACGTTTGCTGTACCCATCAAGTGCACTGTAATGACTGTTTATTTACTGACTGTTGCTCATTGTCAAACGCATATATATATTAGATTTCTGTGCTTAAAAGAAAAAAACAGGGCACACTCACCTCGTGCATTACCATGATAATAAGAAATGTATTACAATGATCTGGAGTCAAACTCCCTGCTCTGAGGAAGAGAGTTTGACACCCGAAATGCGTCAGCACTTCACCCAAGGACCATTGTTGCCTATGACTGGCAGCTTTTGACTCCTTGCCTGTGTTTTTCTGACCTTTTTGGTCATAAAAAAATCTGCATTTGTATTTTTGTAATACATTTCGTATTATCACGGTAATGCCTGAGGAGAGTGCGCCCTGTTTTGTTCTTTTCTGCTAGTATTAAGATTCCCCGATCTATTAAGGGCGGCACCTCAGCAAGTGCTGGATTTCATATTTTTGAGGGCAGCAAAAAGGATTTGAGCGCTGCTTTCTGGTTACTGTTGGATATTTCTGTGCTTAATAAACCCTATCTGTTAAAAAAAAAAAAAAAAGTTCTGGCCTGGGAAAGAAAGAGCAGCATGGGAGGATGTGATGGATAAGTGATCAACAATAGGATGGGGGTTAATGCTTTTATTAGCCTTTAACGTGGCTTGAATTGATTTTCAAGATTCACCCCCTTTGACTTCAGTAGGTTCAGATTAAAGTTGTGTTTTCTGGAATTTACTATGAGTTTGATGAACATCACACAAATGGAACCCAAAAATATTCACTCATCATTAGTCTTGAGAGTGTAAAGCAGCAGACTATTTAAAAACATTCAAGGAGAATTCATATATGTTAAATGTTTTTCTCAAGACTCAGTGGACCAAAGCAATGTGTACCACCAGCTTTATACAATTTGGCTCATGTTCATCTCAAAGGAGTTGACAATGACCACTTGGCAGATTGGGTATACATTGTTGGGAGGGGGGGGGGGGTACACAAACAAGGCTTTCTTTGTATTTTCTATTTATGCAAAACAAAGCATGCTTTCTTTCTAGTTGACCAGTGTTAGTTTTAAAAACTATACTATACTGCTATGCTGTATTTGCCTTTGCCAGCCATTCTACATCAGTACATCAGCAGTTGTAAATACAGTACTACCATCAGCATCATGCTCTAGTAGCAAAAGAAAAAAGTACTAAGGGAAGAGGAGTTTTTGGCACCTAAAAAAAATATTGCAATGTGCGTTTCAATGCAACAACTGGTTCCCACATCAAATGGATGTTAATATAGCCTGAAACATTTGACTTATTTAAAACGTGATAGAAATACACATAAGAAGCTCACAGAAATCGATGGCAGACTATGTAATAGCTGGCATCATTGAAGTAAACACATTTGGGTTCAAAATATGCTGTATAGCTGGAAAGCATACCAACCTGCTGAGGACTATGCATTCACTGTTAAGCACTTGGCAGTTGCAGTCAATGAGGGAGCCTGCCAGGAAGCAGTGTCTTGAGATGAGCTATATAAGGCCATTATTTTGGAATTTGTACAAAGATCTGGCTATTTTTGGATTGTGAGACAATTTCCTGACATGGATCACAGGTTCAAAGATAAAAAAGAAAACTAAGGATACATAGTGCAGTAATTATCTATGCAGATGCAGCCTCAGAGATTAACTGGGGTCTGCAGTAAACTTAGTGGATGAACTTAGAGTTAGCTATATAAATTGAAATGTCTACTGGTTGATTAGGCTGCTTATACTATTTACTTTATACATTTGGACATAGTGATTTTTATATGAAAATTCCATAAGTTGGTACTAAAATAAAACACATGCTCTCCTTCCTTTCATACTAAATCAAGAGTTCAACATCCTCATTCTCAGCCCTAGGTCATCCTTAAGATAGAAATAAAATCTAGGGATCACAAATTCACTCCGTGTGTGTATAAAAAAACCACACTATATTACGTATATCCCAAAAGATAACAAATGAAAACATTTGAGATTCAAGCATGGTCCCCCGGAGTTACAGAGTGCACAGATATACAGTGCTAATCTAAATATAATTCAATGTAGCGTAAATGAAACCTTTTGGAGGCGATAATAACCATCAAGCTTCTGCTGCAAGTTAATTTAAAATTATCTCCTCTGTTAAATGGAGAATCATGCACTGGTAATAAATCTGAGTGTAGTCACACACTGGGTACGCCAGAATCATGTACAGTCATGGCCAAAAATATTGGCACCCCTGCATTTCTGTAAATATTTTTGGCCATGATATACAGTTAGGTCCATATATATTTGGACACAGGTACAATTTTAGATTTTTTTCACATATTTACCAAAACATATTCAATCTATAGTTATGCAATGGATATGGGCTGAAAGTACACACTCTTAGGTTTAATTTGAGGGTATGTTCATCTACATTGGAGGAAGGGTTTAGGAATTACAGCTCTTAAGAGTAGCCATCCCCCTTTTTCAAGGTACCGAAAGTAATTGGACAATTGAAACAAAGCCTGTTTCATGGCCAGGTGTGGGCTACTCCTTTGTTATTTCCTCATCAATTAAGCAGGTAAAAGTTGATTCTAATTGTGGTATTTGCATTTGGAATCTATTGCTGTGAACCTACATCATGTGTTCAAAGGAGCTTTCCATGCAAGTGAAACAGGCCATTGTAAGGCTTCAAAACTAAACAAATCTATCAGAGAAATAGCAGCAACATTAGGAGTGGCCAAATCAACCATTTGGTACATTCTGAGGAAAGAAGAATGCACTGGTAAGCTCAGCAACATAAAAAGGCATGAACATCCACGGAAGACAACAGTGGTGGATGATCGCAGGATCCTCTCTATGGTAAAGAAAAACCCATTCACAACATCCAGACAAGTGAAGAACACTCTCCAGGAGGTGAGCGTATCATTGCCAAAGTCTACAGGAGAGCAAATACAGAGGGCTCACCACAAGGTGCAAACCATTCATAGGCCTGAAGAATAGAAAATCCAGATTAGACTTTGCCAAAAAACATCTAAAAAAAGCCAAACCAGTTCTGGAAGGACATTCTTTGAACAGATGAAACAAAGATTAATCTGTACCAGAATGACGGGAAGAAAAAGGTGTGGAGAAGGCTTGGAACAGCTCATGATCCAAAGCACACAACGTCATCTGTAAAACACAGTGGAATCAGTGTGATGGCGCGAGCATGCATAGCTTCCTGTGGCACTGGGTCATTGGTGTTTATTGATGATGTGACAGAAGACAGAAGCCCCTGAAAATGGAGTGACTGTGTATAAAAATGGTTGCAGTTCCTAAAATTTGTACTTGATATTTATGTTCAACCCCTTGAATTAAAGCTGGACATCTGCACTTCAAATTAATTTGGATTGTTTCATTTTATTGTATTCCTGTGGCATACAGAGCCAAAAGTATGAAAATTGTGCCTGTGTCCAAATATATATGGACCTAACTATATACAGTGAATATAAAAAGTCTACACACTGTTAAAATGTCAGGTTTCTGTGATGTAAAAAAATGGGACAAAGATAAATAATTTCAGAACTTTTTACACCTTTAATGTGACCTGAATTGATAAACACTGCTCAAAAAAATTAACCACTTGCCCTCCTGAGAATTTACCCCTCTTAATGACCAGGACTCTTTTTGCTACTCGGCGCTGCACTAATTCAACTGATAATTGCGTGGTCATGCAATGCTGCACCCAAACTAAATTTATGTCCTTTTTTCACACAAATAGAGCTTTCTTTCGGTGGTATTTGATCACCTGTGCGCTCTTTATTTTTCACGCTATAAACAAAAAAAGACCAAAAATTTTGAAGAAAAACGATATTTTTTACTTTCAGCTATGAAAAATATATAGTAAACTCAAAGTTAGTTATAAATTTAGGCCAAAATGTATTCTGCTACATGTTTTTGGTAAAAAAATCCCAAAATCCCAAGTGTATATTGATTGCTTTGTGTGAATGTTATAGCGTCTACAAACTATGGTATAGATACTGCAATTTACGCCATTTTTTTGCTATACAGCGCTGCGCTAGTTTAACGGACAATTGCGCTGTCATGCATGCAAAACTTTCTTTTGGTGGTATTTGATCACCTGTGCACTTTTTATTTTTTGGCGCTATAACCAGAAAAAGGTTTGAAGAAAAATAAAAAATTTTGAAAAAAAATATATTTTCTCATTTCGGTCATAAAAAATATCCAAAAAAACTAAAATTTTGTCATAAATTTAGGGCAAAAATTTATTCTGCTACATGTTTTAGGTTAAAACATTCCCAATAAGTGTATATTGATTGCTTTGTGTGAAAGTTATACAAAATATGGTATAGATAATGGAATTTACACAGCTTTTACTTTCTGACTGCCCATCACATTTCTTGAGGTGCTAAAATACCAGAATAGTACAAACACCCCCAAATGACCCCTTTTCGGAAAGTAGACACTCTTGAGAGGCATATTGAGTCCATGGAAGATTTATTTTTTTTCCACAAGTTTCTGGAAAATGACAAAACATTGTTTTTTTTATTTTACACGAAGTTGTCATTTAAATGATTTATTTCTCGCACAAGCTATGGGTATTTGTGGAATTACAGCCCAAAATACATTATGCTCCTTCTACCGAGTATGGTGATACCACGTGCGTGGGACTTTTTGGGAGCCTAGCCACATACAGGAGCCTGAAATCCAATGACCACTTTGAAAGCCTGAAGGTGCGTAACTTCTTCATTACACTTCCTCACTACCTATCACAGTTTTGAAGGCCCTGACATGTCAGGATAGCACCAAACCCCCCCCCAAATGAACCCTTTCTGGAAAGTAGACACCCCAAGGAATTTAAAAAGAGGCATGGTGAGTATTTTGCAGATCTAATTTTTTCTCACAAGGTTTTGAAATATAAACAAAATAGAAAAAATATGTTTTTGTTTTTCTTCATTTTCCAAA